TTTTGAGACAGAGCGTGGTGCAATCCCGGCTCGCTGCAACCTCTACCTCCCAGGTTCAAGTGATTCTCCTGCCTCAGCCTCTCAAATAACTGGGACAACAGGCATGCACCACCATGCCTGGCTAATTTTTTATATTTTTAGTAGAGATGGGGTTTTACCATATTGACGAGGCTGGTCTTGAACTCCTGACCTTGTGATCTGCCCACCTCAGCCTCCCAAAGAGCTGGGATTACAAGCGTGAGCCACCACGCTGGGCCTGAAGATATCTTTTCTATTCTCACTTGTACACATTAGAACCTTCAAACTTGTCACCAAATCTCTTCTCAGAGCCAAAGTCAGTCCTTTGGGAAATGGGCTGAAATTTTCATACGACCAGAATACTACCTTGTTAGCCCACCACTGCAGGGATTTGGCAGATGACATTCTCATGGTCACAAAAATCTCAAGTGAAATAATCAGCGTGCCCTACATCAGTCTCAAAGACTATTCAGCCCAGAATTTCACTTCTGAGTGGAAACAAAGAATGTGGTCGAAGCTCCGCTGTACTGCTGCCAAGGCCTGTGTGACCCAGCCCCCACTCAGCTCTCCACCGCCTCACCATGACCCCCTCCTTCCTGCTTCGAGCACCTGCCTCTGCTTGGAACGCTCACTCCCTGCCCCTTTCACCCGACCTACACAGTCTGCATGTCTCAGCTGCATGGACCCAAGGCAAGTGTCACTGACAGCAGGGGCCTTGATTTCAGGAGTAACCTCAGAAGTGGGACAGGGGCTGAGACTGAGCAGAGCAGAGCAGAAACCAGACAGACGGCAGGAAAAGGCCAGGGCACGTTTGGAAAGCAGTTGCTTCGTGTCCCCTCCCTTTCTCCCAACTGTCACAAACCCTGGGCATTGGGGAGATGCACAACTTTTACCTGACCCTGGAAAAGGTTCAAACAGCCTCTATAGGAAGTCAACAGAAGGTGGGCAGTGGTGACAACGCAGGTGATGACAGAGCTCCTCTGAGTCTGTGACTTTCTCTAGAAGCCTCTGCTGCCCAGAAACAGCAGGGAGTGGCGTGGTGAGGGCGGCAGGAAGCTCAAGATAGCTCCTTCTAGAGAGGGCAGTACTGAAGCGGTTGACACAGGGTGGCAATTTTGGTGGCAGCTGGGGGCAAGGAGCCCTGCCTCTGTTTCCCTTTGTCTGCTGGTAACCCAAGTTCAACAAGACTTGTTAGAAAGAGCCAGTAAAACTGGGAAAAGGGGAGAGTGAAGATCAGACTGAGCATGTGTGGAAGAAAGGAACGTACGATTTTAACAAAATAGGCTTTTGGCAATAGAGCCACAATGCCTGGTTCAAACAGACCAGACTTGGCTGCAGGAGCCCGGATGAGACAGCAACAACTGAGCGGTCATAGCCGACACTGTCCCTGCCTCCCTGCTCCACACCATGGTAGTGCAGCCTTGAAAAATTCTTACTTCTTAGATACTTATCTAACATTCCAATAATTATACATAAACTGGGCCAAGAACCCAAAGAAGCCAAAGCTGGCTGAAGTCCCAAATTGGGCCTGAAACCGCATTTGACAATATCAACCAGGAAACTGTGCTGGCCCCTCTCCCAAGGCTGCTGATTGGCCACACAGGTGGGTGTGGTGGCAGGGACCCAGCCTCCCACACAGCAGCAAGGACACACACGGCTCACCTTCTTGGTAGCAGATTTTGATGATCAACTCATTACAAAAAGCACTCCAGGGACTTGTTAGGCTGTTTTTTTTTTGAGCTGGAGTCTTGCTCTGTCGCCAGGCTGGAGTGCGGTGGTGCGATCACAGCTCACTGCCACCTCTGCTTCCTGGTTCAAGCGATTCTCCTGCCTCAGCCTCCTGAGTAGCTGGCACTCCAGGCATGCACCACCACTCCCAGCTAATTTTTTGTATTTTAGTAGAGACGGGGTTTCACCATGTTGGCCAGGATGGTCTTGATCTCCTGACCTTGTGATCCACCCGCCTCAGCCTCCCAAAGTGCTGGGATTACAGGCGTGAGCCATTGTGCCCGGCCATTAGTAAGGCTTTTTATC